TAGTAGTAATAACAGCCTGTTTTTGCAAAAACATTTTGGCCGGTAAATTTTATCATGTCACCGGCCATTGGCAGGTGTGGCAAAAAGTTAGTTTTAGGCCCTGCTAGGATGCATTAAGTGCAAAAGTGACAGTAAAAAGACATTTATAACGTTACAAAAGATTTGATTGAGGGATCTAAAATATGGTCATACAGAATAAGGCATTAATATGAGCAACTAGTTAATAGTGAGAATTGGACCTTAAAATAAAGTGTTACCCAATTCCTTAATCCTACTCCAGACAACTACCTTACTAACTATTAATAAGCAGCAAATGAGGAAATTATTGAGACAGAAGTCGTAGTTAGTTAATAGTGAGAAATGGTCCCTAAACTGAAGTGTGCACGAATAAATGTTGTTCTTTGGAATTTTCTGTTCATCAAAGAATCCTGAAAAAATGTATCTTGGTTTCCACAAAATATTAAAAAGCACAACTATGGATAATAATAAGGAATGTTTTTGAGCACCAAATCAGCATATTAAAATTATTTCTGTGTTCAAATATAAAGTTATAAGTTATTTGTGTGTGTGTGTGTGAAGATTCTGAGGACAAGAAAGTTCACCTTATCACCACTCTGGATAATACTGAGGAAGATCTGCTCACTTTGGAGTATGTCAAGGTAAAATTTGCTTTATCATATCTCATGTGTCATCTTTCTTCGGGTCCATTTATATGTAAAGCTCTATTTATCATCAACTTGTGGCGTGATTCTGAACATTGTGATGAAAGCTAATTTCTCTGGCACAGTTTTCTTGGTTTTGGCCATGTCTCAGCTAAAATTAGAGCTAATTTTGTGACTCGGTATGCATGACTCATGTTAATTACAGTCCTGCTCTCAGTCGAGCTCTGATAGCACAGATTTAGAAAGCCTATTAATGTATAATATCCATTTACTATTTATTTCTATATATTATTTATGAAGGACAATTTAAAGGGGTGGTAAATCAGCTATTTTCGAAGGCTTGATTGTGTTTATGTAGTGCACTGTAACGTGTTCATGCTTAAAAAAAGAGGCACAAGACGAGCAGCCCGTCCTACCCAAGGAGGAAGAGGAAGAGGAGGCAAAAATAGAGGATTCTGCTGTTATCAAGAAATCTTGTAAGAAAGTTCATTTTGTATGGTTCTTTTGTTTTGTCATGATATAATTTTAATCTCATATTATTGGCTTGTTCCTCAGCCTGTAAGAAGTCAAAGTTTGAGGATGTGGTGAATTTGCACATCCGAGCAGACCTCAACTGTCTGAAGGTCTTCATAAGAGGAGAGAAAGCCAGGATCTCTGAGATCAGCATAGAGGGTAATACACATTTCTGTAAATGCACATAAACACAAAGTTGGGATATGTTCCAGTACTGCATATTCTCTTTTACACCAGGGCTGGTTTCTGAAGTTCAGATGAAGAAGAAGTGCGTAGAGATTCTCGCTAACCTGAAGAACATTGTAATTCTGGATTGTGACAAAGAGGCACTATATAAAAAGGTAGAAAGTGCTGTACTTTTAAGGATAAATAAATCATAGAATGGGAGCTAAATTGGAACAATGGAGAACTAGTACACATTTTTTTACGTTACATTATTTTTGTTATAAAGTGTTTAATAGTGTTAAAATAAAAAAAGGCTTTTAACCACAAAACAAACAATTTCAATGTCATGTTTGATTAACATTTTCTGTTTTATTGGGCCAAAGTAACAGTATTATTTATTAGATTATACAATTCTTTAAAAAACATTTATGTATATAGAATTGTATATTTTTGTGACATTAAAAAGATTAATTACAAAAAATCTTTGCTAAAAAATGAATGAAAGAATAATAGTGGAAATGCTGAAACATTAGTAACTTATTGGCTTTGGGCTAAAAAAAATTATTGGGATTTTTAACTTTTTTTTTTTTTTTTTGTATCATGCATAAAAAGGTGAGAGTGTAAGATGGAATTGATTTAGGCTAATGATGGAATGTTCATGATATATAGGCAGTGTCCATCGCGGATAAGGAGGTGTTTGATTTCCGCATGGTGAACCATGTGGATGCAACGGAGGGCGACGCCTACACAGACATGCACATTGTGGACACCAGTGTAACTTTGACTGTGGGCTGCATTCAGGTTATTTTCCTCAACAAGTTTATGTCCTCAATACTGGTAAGTGTATATAGTTGAAAAAAATAATATTTTTAAATATTTTTATAGTACCTATTAATTATACATTTAAAAAGTAGAGAGGTCCTAGAATTTAACCTTGGGGGACACCTTACAATTTCTTAATAGAAACAAATTGCTGCTTAGTTGTTTTTGTTTTTTAATTTCACCTGATTTTTCAGTAAATATTGTTTTTCTTTATACTCAAGTTTCACAGCAAATGTTTAATTTTATTAGCCTCTGCTTGCATTTATTTTTTCATATATATTTGTCTGTTATCTAATGGTCTCTCTCTTCTCTCTCCCTCTCTTTATTTTTTTCCTTTTCAGGCATTTATTAATAATTTCCAGGAGGCTAAAAATGCATTGGCAGAGGTGACAGCCCAGGCAGCAGAGAAAGCAGCCACAGGGGTTTTGGAGCTGGCAGAGAGAAGCACACGTATCTCCCTGGATGTAGACATTAAAGCTCCTGTTGTCTTCCTCCCACAATCCTCTGTTTCCCACAATGTCATTGTGGCAGATCTGGGTTTAGTGACTGTAAAGAACCACTTTGAAATTGTCTCCTCTCCAGCACACACCAAGATCCCCCCTGTCATGGACATCATGGCCGTGGGACTGAGTGATCTTAAAATGTACAGGTTAGTTCGGTAATTTTGAATAAATTGACTGGTTTGAATTAATTAATAAATGTGGTTTAACATCCCTGAAATTACATTTCCATAGTTTGATTAATGATGTTTTTAATATTCCTTTATTACCTCAGGACCACATTCACTGATGGACAATTTAAGAGTGAACTTCAGTTACTCAAACCAGTCAACATGGACCTGTCAATCAAACGCAATCTCTCTGCCTCCTGGTATCACAGCATTCCTGACATCCAGATCAATGCACACCTCAAACCCATGAGCGTAAGTGCATATATTTGTGTTTGTTTCTGTATCTTATCTTATAGCTGTAGGGGATATTACAGCTAATATCAATGTGCATTTATTTCAGCTAATCTTGAGTCAGGAGGACCTAACTATAGTGCTGAAGACTCTGAGTGAGAATCTGTCTGAGAATTCTGATGCTCCTCCAGCTCCATCCAGCCCTGATAAAGGAGACACGGTTTCTACCAAGGATTCTCAGAGTTCTGGAGGTATAAAACACACACAAACACAGATTGTGAAGCTTTATCGATTACTAATGCATAGGTTGCATCAAGCATACTTTACTTTGTGTTTTTTTTTTTTTTTGGCTCTGGTTTGTAATAATTAGCACATATTTAACCAAGTATATATTAATTTATACGTATTTTCCAATTCAGAATTTGGATGTCTTGGAGTTTACCTGGTTTAAAAACAATAAATATGTTTTTTTTTAATTCAGATTGTATTCAGATAAATGTCTCAAACAGTATTGTTTTTTTATTGTGTTGTAGGAAACACGGTTGTGACCGCAGCAGTGGTGGAGGGCCCGAAAACAGGAAAACTAAAGAACACTCTGAAACTGGACTTTAAGTTTGACTCCATGACACTAGTCCTGTACAGCCCCAACAACAATGAGGTGACAAAATGCACTCGATTCACTGTAGACAAGAGTGTAATGATTGCATGTGAAGCCAGGTTTAAATATTTTGTGTTCTAGCTTTTAGAATCGGTTTGTGTTTACGTACAGATCCAGTTATCAGACTCCCGTGATGAGAGTTTGAAGTTGGCAGAGTTCATGTTGGGCACCATCTCCACCGCTGTGCACATGTTCTCTGACAGCTCCATGAAAGCCTCCCTCAAACTCACAAACTGTCTGCTGGATGACAAGAGACAGAGGGTGAAAATGATCACATCCAGGTAGATCAAACACAGATCATGACCGAATAAAGATGCTCCAGTTTGTGTTAAATCATGTTTTATATGTACAAAGTTAACATTTGTATAACATTTGTATTTTTTACCATCTTTGCACAAAATATGATTGCATATCCAATTAATCGATTAATCAAAGAAAGAACCAACTGATTAATTGATTAATAGAAATTGTTAGTTGTGAACTTGTGGTAAATAAAGTTACTCATTCAGTCATTAAATGTCAGTAACTGGGTTTTCTTCTATAATTTCATGCTGCTTTAGGATGATGGCGATGCGTCAGGGTAGGGAAGGCAATGTGATGGTAGACATGAGTTACCGACAAGGCCGGGACGGCACCGTGCTGGACACCCTGGTTCAGGACCTCTATCTGTGTGCCAGTATGGAGTTCCTGCTCACAGTAGCTGATGTCTTTCTTAAAGCTATGGCAGATGGCTTCTCTGGTTCCCCTAAAAACAAACAACCCGCCAGTTCATCTAAAGACCCAGGTTAGTGATTGTACTTCAGCACCACCTTGATGAAGTCAGGTTTTCTTCAAGATAGTCTTATAAACTTAAGAGTCAAACATAGTATTTTTGATAATTTTGTTGTATGAATATCTGAACATATAATAATTCAGAAGAAAGAGCAGAACAAAAATTAAAAACATTTTGTCCTAGCTTCATGCATTCTTTTTTTATCAACACTTGAATGTGGGTAAGTTTCTTTTAAAAAAGCAACATTTTGAACCCGAGATTCTAATTCGAAATTCGAAAGACGAATAATAGCGCCCCCCTACTGTATAACAGTGAAAACATGGAATGCAGGAAAATTCTTTCAGTGGCAGGGAAGCATTGTGCCATAAATGGAATCAATGGTGATTTGTGTCTTACCTTTGCTAGCGGTTCCTGCTGCACCAGTGGTTGCCAAAACTGAGATGAACATTGTGGTAAAGAATCCTGAGATCGTTTTTGTGGCCGACCTCACACGCGCTGAAGCTCCGGCTCTAGTTATGACGACGCAGTGTGAGCTGGTGATGAAGAACGAACCCAGCGGCCAGTCGATGACGGCTGCCATTTCAGACCTGAATGTGGTGGCGTGTCCGCTCCTGCGAGAGAAGCGTGAGCACAACGTGACGACGGTGCTTCAACCCTGTCAGGTGTTCTTTCAGAGCAGCCAATCACCTTCCCAGCCACAGTCCATCGAGCTGTCCATCAGCTCCCTCACACTCAAGGTGAGGCTGAACATGTGATGATCATGTGAAATTGTGATTATTTCATATTTTGAAATTATTAGTGTCTTAAAGGTATAGTAGCAAAACTGATTTTAATTCTGAGGGTAAGAAGGCATAAAATAAAAAACTAAACTAAATTCCAACTGTTTTTTTTTGGTTCCTTGAAACACATTATATGGGGACTTCAGGGGAAAAAAGGCTGCAAAAATATAGAAAATGACCCCTTTCCTGCCCTGTCCACTCACTTCCTGTTTCCTAAGGTGTCTCCCATCATCCTAAACACCGTTATCACCATTCAGTCAGCGCTGAGCCCTGCAGCTGAGACCCCTGAGGAACTGGAGAGTCCTGTGCCACAGGATCTTTGGGAACGTCGCAACCTGCGAGACCTAAAGCTCTGGTTCCTGGAGGAGGAAGAAGAGAATGTCACCCAGTCTGTCATTCCACTCGTTCCTCATGGAGAGTCTCTCAAAATGAACATCCACACCATCTGCCTGACGCTGGAGGCCGGGGTGGGCCATCGCACTGTGCCCATGCTGCTGGCCAAAGCCTCGTTTCAGGGAAACGTGAAAAACTGGAGTACTCTCATTAACCTACACTGTCACCTAGACCTGGAGGTCAGAAGATATTTTAATACATTGTACACGTATCTAATTCAGTCATGAAACTCTAGATCGCGCAGGCTGATAGGCCCTTTAAATGCAATCTGCTGGCAAACACATCATTTATTACATTTTTATTACACAAGCTCATTGGCAGATTCCGCATTTGATGAGATTGCTTGCTTAACATTTAAATAATCTGGTTCAGTGTTACTGTAAACTTGTCCTGCAGCACTATTTGAGTTCCTCTGAAACCCTCCACCTCCCCCAGCACCACCTGTCTAGATCTGCTACTGGATTTATGTATGCATATTCATGCAGCAGCAGCAGCATATCTTACATGCTCACAGCAGTTTTTACCTATATCAAGTTGTTTGTTTCCTGTAGGTTAATTATTATAATGAGATGATGGGCTTATGGGAACCACTGTTGGAGCCTCTTGATAATGAGGAGAAAGATGGCTTCAGACCATGGACTCTAGCAATGAAGGTTACCTTTCATTTCATGCCTAAAATGTTACTGACAAAACTTTTCATGAGTTCAAGAAATAAATAATGTTGTGTCTACAGATGAAGAAGAAGCCAGTATCACATTCTGGAGTATCTGACGAGGTGGACGGCAGTGTGCCTGATTATAAAACGGTCATCAGCTTCACAAGTAAAGACCAGCTTAACGTCACCCTCTCCAAGTGTGGCCTCCACATGCTCAGCAATCTAGGAACGGTAAGAGATTAAGATGATTGCAGTGTGAGATAGTTAAAAAGGGCTGTCTTTCTCTTACAGATGTTACAGATGAGTAGTTTCTTCTGTTTGTTTTGCAGGCATTTGCAGAGGCCACTAAGCAGACCGCTGAAAGCTTTCAGAAGGACCAGGCTCCGTTTGTGGTGAAGAATCGTTTGGGTTTGCCGGTGGCAGTGCTGCACAGCGAAGTGTTTAGACCCATCGGTAAAGAGTCTAAAAATCGTGTGGTGGAGCTCCAGAATGGAGAGAGTCTGAATATGGACTACACCCACACTGCTGAGTCCAGTGACCAGTTCTCAGCCATGACCAGCCTCAGTGCCAAAAACTACATACAGCCCAGTAAGACTGCATAACCCATGACCTTTATGAATATATATCTCAGCATTACTAGTAGGGATGCGCTGATCTAATACTCAGTATCGCTATCGGCTCCGATACTGCCATTTTCTGCCAGGTCGGGTCAGACGAGACCGATCCAAATCCGATATTGTGCGTATACTGTTCTGTGTTATTATTAAGTCCCACAAAAGGCAAAAAAACTTTATAAAGCAGCATAGTTTTCGTGCACTATATTCCAAGTCTTGTGAAGCCGTTCCATAGTTTAATATGAGGTACAAATATATATTTAAGTTAAATTCAAGTTCACAAACTCTTCTCTCCGCTGTGGCTGTCAGTCTTCCTCCATTCAGCGTTCAAACTGCATCTCGCGTTCAGTTACGACGATGAAACTCTTTCCAAGATGATTCAATGTTCCTATTATACTTGATCTGTAGATAAAGATCAGTGGTTTTGCATAAAAGGACTTTATCTTGCTGGAGTTTAGTGCTGTTACTAAATCACGTTTCTTTCTACCGGGTGTCTGTTAGATCACTACACTGGAGTAGAGAGCACTATGAGTTGTTGTTCATGCGCACAATAACTGAAATTTAAAACTGTTAAAAAAAAGGCTCAATAAACCATCGCACAGATATAATACACTACGCATCAGTATCTCTTCCCTTTGTGCTTTGAACTTTTCTATGCGGAGCGCTGTGACTCCATGTTGCTTCAAGCGCGTCATTCTGCACATGGGATGCACATAAGCGGGAGCCTTTCATGTAATAATACTTTTGCGCAATGAAAGATTAATAGCCTTTCTTGTTCTGTCCTATCTATCATATGTTACTGCCTATTTATATATAAAAAATATTTACTTGTTTTTCATGAATATATTTTACAACAATACAAACATTTTACAAGATTTAGTATTACACTTATTCAGTTTTATTTTTTCCCCGTTTAATAATGTTTGAAGAACATTTTAATAATCTAAAGAACCTTTTTACACTATAAAGAACCTTTTGTGTGAATGGAAAAGTTCCACTGATGTTAAAGGTTCTTTATTGAACCATGGGTGTCAATAAAGAACCTTTTTTTTTTTTTTAAGAGTGTGTACAATAAAGGCATCCATTGTCACACTAACAAGTGACAAATTACTTAAAATAAAAAAATAATAAGAATTTAAGGTAAATTAAATTATATAATTAAAACCCACATTATTTCTGTTATCTGAATTTGAAATGAACACAAAAATTGGTGAAATTAAATATTAATTAAAAGAGATAGAGTGGTTTTAAAATGATATGTAATGAAAATCCAAAATGCTATAGTTGCATTCTGCAAAATTGCTAGACAAAAACTAGATTTTTTTTCCCCTTTTCCTCTTCTCCAGCTCCAGTTGGCCACACTACCGCAAGTGTAATCCCACTAATCAAAACAGGACGGGACATGCATAGCGTCATGCACCGTGACTCTGGTGTCACTCGCTTCTTTGTCTGTCAGATTTACACTGCCGAGGGAAGCAAATATGTCAAGATCCGCTCTCCTTTCCAGGTGGATATATTTAAAACCTAAACACACACACACTATATACAGCAGACCCTTCCCTTTGAAAATGACTCCTCATTAAGCCTACACACATTTTTACACTGATTTTGAGAGAGAATTCTGTAATATACTTGTATTAATAGCTGTAAAAATATTGAAATTATCTACAGCATTTAATAAACGGAAGTTTTATTTTATTGTTAACTGATTGGTTGTTGATGCTGTTATTGTTTCGTATTGATTTTCTAGATTATCAATCACTTTTCGGTGGCGTTCCGTGTTTATGAGGGATCTGAGTGTCTGGGCATCTCTCTGCCTACAGAGGAGTTCTGTGTGCCGCTGGGCTCCTACAGGTCAGTTACAGCACAGGACGGTCAGCTCTGTCTAACTGTCCACTTTCACAAACATACACTCTGAAAAACTCTTTCTGCATCTGTATTTTTTGTCTAGTTGTTCAGGAGTTTTTCTAGAGAACATACCTTTAAATAAGTTATAATTATAATAATTGCTTGTCACAGTTATTATCTTTTATAATAATTACAAATCTGGCAAAATTGGATATTTAACAGTGCATGCTCATTTCCCCTATTTTAATATTTATATAAATCTGCCATCATCTCACTGAAAGTTTATCTTTTTAAAAAACAACAAATCTCAAAATAAATATTAATTTTTCATGTTCTACATTATTTAATTTTAGCATTTAGTACAATAATAATAATAATAATAATATGTTAATTCATATTGAATTAATATTATAGTTTTAAGTTTGACATGGATAAAAACTAGCGTGTTTAAATCGAAGGGTGAAATAGAGGATGAAAAATGTCCTTGAAATGCTAAAATATTAATTATATTATAAATTGTATTGAGCCTGAACCATTTTTTCATTTTGGCATTTTCAATTATTTATTGATTTGTTTTTTGTTTTTTCCAGAGCTGAACTGAGCCTGCAGCCTATAACTGAAGGCGAGGAGCAGTACGACCACTCTGAGGGTTTCACTTATAATGAGGTGAATCAGAAGCCCGGAGAGTGTCTGGAGAAAGCCTGCCATCATCATGGAGACAGCGCCCAGATGCTGAAGGTCAACATGGTTCCTCTTCCAGACACTGTGATGTCTCACAGCACTGAGGAGGAGTTTGACAAGCCCATCATTCTGCACCTGTGGCCCACCGTTCTCCTCCGCAACCTCCTGCCGTACCCCATCACCTTCAAGATAAAGGTACAAGACACCTTACAGTCCCTCTCCACTGCATCAGATATGTTGTGGTTGTGGTCTTTTATAATAATTATGGAGATATTTAATTTATCTGTCTCAGTTTGTATTACCTACAAATTGGCAGATATTGGATATTTTTATTATCTGTGCATGCTCATTTCCCCTATTTTACCATTTATATTAATTTTGCAATCATCTCATGAAAGATCATCTTTAAATACAACAAACACACACACACGCTCACGCACACACATACTTGTATTTGTGGTTTACGGGGACTCTCCATAGGCATAATGGTTTTTATACTGTACAAACTGTATTTTCTATTGCCCTACACCAACCCTACACCTAAACCTACCCCTCACAGGAAGGAGCTGGCAATTTTTGAATTTCATAAAACACCGTTTTGTATGTTTTTTAAGCCTTTTGTTTTACGGGGACACAGGAAGTGTCCTCATAAACCATGTTTACGCTGTAGTACCCATGTCATTATACACATCTGTGTCCTCATAAACCATATATACCTGTACAC